TATTTGTGGACACGTGTGACTTCCAGGTCCTGGTGGAGATCGACCAGGTGAAGAGTCGCATGCAGCTGGCAGCAGAGGCGCTGCAGGAGGCCGATAAATGGAGCACACTCAGTGTGGACATCGAGGAGACCTTCAAATCGCAGGTACAATCAAGTAGCACGTTGGTTTAATGTGCGTATGTGTGTGTGTTTCCCCCCTCCGGAGAGCAACAAACATTGTCCTTCTGTCTTTCAGGACCTCGCAGCCATCTCATCCAAGCTCACCAGCATGCAGAACAGCCTGGCAATGCTGGTGGACACGCCGGACTACTCTGAAAAGTGTGTCCACCTGGAGGCTCTTAAAAACAGACTGGAGGCCCTGGCCAGCCCCCAAATAGTGGCGGCATTCAATTCCATGTCCGTCGGTAAGCTCCGATTGAAACGTGTGGTTTTGTATGCCAACTTCCACCCATTTGCCCATTTTAGCTTGGTTGGGATTTGGATGTTTAGCTTGACTGACCTTTTCACCATTCCCGTGCAGACCAAGCAAAACTGTTTGTCAAAGTCTTCTCGGAGATCGACAGAATGCCGCAGCTCCTTGCGTACTACTACAAGTGTCATAAAGTGAGTAAACAAAAGCACGTGGTTGCTAAACCAACAGTCCCGGCAGGAATTTTGCCATGTCACGATGCTAAGAATTCACTCAAATTGCGTGGACCCTGTTTGACATGGATGTCAACTGCAGCTAAATTGCGATATCATTGGTGGGGTTTTTTTGTTTGTTTGTTTGTTTGTTGAGAGGATAAAGAATTTATGCCTGTAAGTACTCTTGGATGCAGATGTCTTCAAATGATTACAACCCCAAGATCAATGCAGTGACAGTCTGGTTAGCCTCCTCTGTGGTGCGTTAGCATTAAGCTATGCGGCAGGCTGGCTTGGTTAAATGCCCACCACGTAATTGACATCTTTTTGAATGTTTCATTTTGGTTTGTAGTGATGTGACGTGCCCTCACTTCTGCAGGGCCAGATCGTGAACATGTGGCAGGACCTTTCTCAGAGCGAGCTCAGCCTGAATCGCCAGCTGACGGAATTTTACGACACCTTGTTGTCCACGTGGCACGCTCAGCTCCAGTGGTGCAGCCAGGTGAAGGAAACGCACCGGATATGCTTTTGAGATCCAGTCCTCTCACCGCCGCCCTCATTATTCATGAGTTTATTTTCAATTGGGGATTCTCGGTGGGTGCGGCGAGTCACGGACCGGTTCTCGAAACAAATTATAGGGGCCGATTCCTCACCAAAATAGGCTTCAACAACCCCCAGGTGTTCAAGAACCCTCACGAGGTGGTGACGGTGTTGCTGATCCAGACTCTGGGAGCCATGGTGCCCTCCATCCCCGTGTGCCTGAGCACGGCCGTGGATGGGACGGCCCAGGAGCAACGCCTGGACGCCCTTCTGGAGCTCAACCAGACCGCGCTCACCTTGGGGCGCAACTTGGAAGCCGCCATGATGCCACATCTCGGTCTGTGCCGAGCAGACAGACAGACAGACAGACAGACGGCGGTAAGCAAACTGCCGTAGCTGTAACCTCTGGCTGTGTTCCCAGGCGAGAATAACCTCCTGAAGGTGAACGAGCTTGTGTGCGCCATCTACGACCCTTACAAGCCTTACCAGTTACAGTACGGGGAACTGGAGCAAAATCACCTCCTCATCCAGATCAGTGCTGTTCCCCTGGTGAGCCCCAATGGCGCTTTCGGAGATGCTGCGCACAGCGCCTTCATCCTTCATCCTCTATCCGGTCCGTCCTTAGGAACACGGGGAGCTCGCGGATTGCGTGGAGGAGCTGAAGCACTCGGTCGGGAAGCTGGTGGCCCTGGCGGGCGGCGCCGTGGACCGCTGCGTCAAACTGACCGACGGGCTGGGCGTGTGCGGCCTCCTGCGGGCCCTCAAAGCGCTCTTCACCAAGTGACTATCCTCACGCGCACCGCGTTGGCGGGTCTTATTTTCCTTTGGAGTCGACTCTGCAGCCATTGCGTTGACCATTGCGTTCCCCAGGTACGTGTCCGACTTCTCCACGACACTCCAGTCCATCAGGACCAAGTGCAAACTGGAGGAGGCGCCGCCGAGTTCTTCTGTTTTCCAGGAGGACTGGACTGCCTTCCAGAACTCAGTCAGGTTTGGGATGAGCGATCAACTTGAAAGTGCAGTACTTCTCACAGGCGCCTCACTTTCTTCTGCTATGCCGATGACACGCCCTTGAGTTTCCTCTCTGTTGTTTTTTTACCCCAAGTTGTCTTGTCCTTTTGCAGAATTATTGCCACTTGCGGGGAGTTGCTGAGACAATGCGGCGCCTTTGAGCAGCAGTTGGCAAACAAGTCAGTCAACCGGTCTTGATCGTTGTGTGCCGTTAGTGTGTCATTCTCAAAGTGTTGTCGCCGGTGTCCCGAATCGACCGTTGCCGCAGGATCATGGGCACGGCGGGCAAGTACCTGTCGGACTCATACAGCCCTCGCAGCCTGACGGGCATCCAGGAGGCCGGCGCCACTGAGAGGAAGGGCGCCAGCAAAAATCCCTGGCAGGAATACAACTATCTGCAGAAGGGCAGCATGGCCGAGTACAGCGGTCTCCTGGAAGTGCTCTACTCGTTAAAGGTGTGGCGCGAGGGTACCGGGCTTGATCAAGGGCGCTGGAAAACATGGCTGCCTTTGTGTCGCAGGAGAAGGGCGCCGGCAACTCCAATCTCCTCGCCGAGCCGAGAGCGGCGCTGACCCGACTCAACCAGCAGGCCCACCAGCTGGCCTTTGACTCGGTCTTTTTACAGATCAAACACCAGCTGGCCGCCATCGCCAAGATGGAGGTGGGCCTTTGAGTTGTCATTTGTCACCGTCGACGTCGTTATCCTTCATTGAAATTGTCCTTTCTGCACAGAATCACGACTCGCCGGGTTTAGGAGAGAGCTATGCTGAAGACCTGCCCACATTCAGCCTGTCACCACAAGAATACATTACAAATGTTAGCTAGCTGTTGTTTCATCTTCTTTTTTAGGCTCCAGTGCCGTCTTGACCTACAATACAAGTTTAACGCCACACCGTTGTCCTCTTCCAGATCGGTCAGTACCTGATGTCTCTGCCGCTCCACTTGGAACCGTTTGTGACGCAGGAGGATCCGGCGCTGGAGCTGGCCTTGCATGCTGGGAAGTTACCGTTTCCGCCAGAGCAAGGTCACTCGCTCTTCTCCACGTGATATTCTTCAACATTTCCACCTCTTTGCCTCCGAGCCTCGCAGTAGATCTTGAACTCTCCCCGCCACACTTCCCCAGGCGATGACCTTCCCGAGTTGGACAACACGGCTGACTACTGGCTGGGCTCCATCGCTCGGGCAACCATGCAGACGTACTGCGACGCCATCCTGCTCATCCCCCGTCTGGGCGCCCATTCCACCAAGCAGCTGGCCACGGACATCGGTGAACCAGGCGCCATCGGATCGCAACGCGATCACGAAAGACCGATTCTCCGCTGACAAACTCTTCTCGTGCTCCTCAGATTACTTGAGCAACGTGATGGACGCTCTGGGCCTGCAGCCGTCTCGCACCCTCCAGCAGATCGTCACCCTGTTGAGGGCCAAGCCAGAAGACTACAGACAAGCCGCCAAACAGTTGCCTCGGCGACTGGTCACGACCATCGCCGCCCTGCGCTCCATTGACAACTAAAACACCAAAAAACAAACAAAATTGAGTGTGGACTTTTTTGTTCCCCTCCTGTGTTTGCATTTTCTACCCGCTGCGTCCGCTGAGGTAAGGATCGGGATGCCAGTGCGGGGTTCTACATGAACAGTGGCCCAGGGCACATAATGTTAAATATTTTTATACCACCCTCCCAAAAAAAGTGACTTCAGAAAAAATCATTTCTTCACGGTTTGAACAAGACAGTGAAAGATGTAAAATATAAAATCATCATTGAACCTTATGAATATGCAGGGCCACAAAGACTTCATGTGGGATCCTGCGGTGTCTTTTATTCTTTGTTGTTTTTTTCCCCCTAACAGGAAGGAAGATTGTCACCACGAGGTGGTTTTTTTTTTCTTCATCACGGGTGCCCTCTCGGCCCAGTTGTGCATCTCCTCTTTGCACTCAGTGATTGCAATTGCAAATTGCATTGCGGCGTGATGAGATCAGGGTATGTGGAACAGCATTTCAAATCTATTTGCTCTTTGACGTACTTACGCCAATACTGTGCTGCGAAGTCTATTTAAGGTGACCAACTCGATGTACAAGCTTCATATTCTGATGGATTGTTTTTTGTTTTTTTTTTCGTGCGGTATTCAAGTGGAATTTTCCAGCACATTTGAAAGTATGTCAATGTGTATCTAAAATGCTTAGATGGCATCATTTTTGTCTTGGTGAGACATTTGTATTTTGATTAAATCGAGCTACATTTATTAACTGGCAATAATTCAATACTTAGCGAGCGGTCCGCTGTTTTATTTTTTTATCATTCATGTGGAATGTCTTGAATGAAAAGAGCTGTTTTGAATAATTCTGCAACACATTCCAGCAGTATTTATTTCATACAGTCAGAAGCCAATTTTTTAAATGTTTCTCTTGGCTCCTCTCCCAGTATGTAAAGGTGGATGTTCCTTTTTTGGAGGGTGGTAAGGTTTCAGCACCTTAGTTGCTGTGTCCATCTAAACTGCCCGGGGCCTTCAGACTTCATCGTGCTGGTCCATGTCATTTAAACTATCACCAATGGCATTGTTTCTTGAACTAGTCAGATTTCAAGTTCATCAGGTGAGCTGGCGCTCGATGTCATCATTTTCCCTCATCCTTTGATTGATTTGCTCAGAGCAAGCCAAGTTTGCTTCAATAGGGATCTGCGCATAATAACCATCCATTCACAATGCGTCTCTGGTGCGTAGGATATGATGTACAGTATTTTATTCAAATGTTTTGTGTTCCCCTGTGTAAATATTGAGTCTAACTGTCTGCAGGTGATTTTATATTACATTTTTTTCTGTTTTGAGGACAAATGTTGTCCACCTTTCTCGCGGGAGTGGGGGGGGGGTGCTCATGCAGCAGCACCTTGTGATTGGCGCTCACGGCGGAGACTGATGGAGCAGAGCGCGGGCATCATCCGGCAACATCCACCTGCTTCCCTCCATCCTGGACCAGTGTTGGGCTGCAACGTCATCCGTCCCCGCCCTGCCCGAGCCCGCCTGCAGTGTCGCTGCCTCCAGATGAGGATGGCCGCGCTCCACGGCCTTGCCACCGAGCCTTGTCCCGACCGGCAATTAAGGGGCTCCGGCGACCGAACCGCGTGACTCCAGCACCCCACCCCCCTCCTCCAAAACCGTCGGCCGGCGTGGAAGCGCACGAACGTGTGAGGAAGCGGCGGACTTCGAAGCTCCGGTCGCGGGGTACCGCGACGATGATGACCACCGCGGAGGCGCGCTAAGGAAGACGAGAAATAAGTCAAACGCTCGAGCCCCGTCCGAGGATTCGAGAGCGTCACGCCGTGGGATGCCTTTTGGACCGGGTGGAGCCGCGCGTCGTTGAATAAAAGATGAGGGACACCCCCCACCCCACCGCCCCGCTACTCGGGAGCGGTTGATGTTTATTTCTGAGGGTGACGTGAGCCCATCGCCGTCGCTGGAGACGTGATGCGCGGGCGGGCGAGCGTGCTACAGGCGCCCCTGTCCGAGCGGTTCTTCTCCACGGCCACCACACGGTGTTTGCTTTGATGCAAGCTGCTCCGTCTGTCTCCTTTCACAACTTGCGAGGCCTCGACGTGGAACATGCCCGGGCCGTGTGGACGACACGACCGACTGATATCGCGTGGGGGCTGCAGCCAAGTGCTGTAAACAACGATTTCAAGCGATTTCCCCCACCCCTCTCCGTTTTCTCTTGTCCTCAATAGGCGAGCTGGTGCTAGAGCTGACTTTGGGAAAAACGACAACAACAAAAGCAGAATTATATATACAGTATATATAATTTTTTTTGGGGGGGGGCTGGGGGGTGAAAGGAAAAAACTCAGCGATGTCTTGTTCTCAATAACATATATACATAACAGGGTTGTTTTTCAAAAGTGGGACGAAGCCGGGGACAACTCAGCCCAGTAGTGGGAGAACATGCAAACTCCACGAAGGAAGGCCGCGGCCCAGATTCAAACCCGGAACCTCAGAACCGCGAGGCAAACGTGCCAAGCTCTCGTCAAGCCCTTTCTCTAAAAGGCCAACAAGGAGCTGCCGCCATGTCCAAAGTGGTCAGCAACAAGGAGAAGAAGTCCTTCAGCAAGAAGCTGTTCCGGAGGAGCTCCGTCCGCTCGGTGGGCAGCTTCATGAACAGAGTTCTCCGGACTCTCTCCACTTTGTCCCACTTCAGTAACGACGAGCAGGCCGCCCGCGATGACCAGGACGATGCCTCGTCGCTCCCCGCCGCCCTCACCGGCGGCTCGCTGCAGTCGGACGACAGCGACTGCGGGGGCTTCCCCTTCGGCGACAAGGTGCCAGGCGTGGCCGGGCTCAAGAACCACGGCAACACCTGCTTCATGAACGCCATCCTTCAGTGCCTGAGCAACACAGAGCTGTTCGCCGAGTACCTGGCCCTGGAGCAGTTCCGGGGCGAGGATGGCGGAGGAGGCGGGGGATCCCAGACCGGCGCCGGTGCCGACACCAAGGCGAGTAAGTCCAACGGGGTCCTGGTGCAGAAGAAGTCCGGCCAACATCAGCAGCAGCAGCGGCAGCAGGAAGAATCCGGGGAGGTGACGGAGCAGCTGTCCGGTCTGGTTCGAGCTCTGTGGACCTTTGAGTACACGCCCCAGCACAGCAGAGACTTCAAGGTAGGCTCTGGCTTGTGGCAGTCATCCCTGCATATTGGCACTTTGATAGAGACCATTTTATCCAGTATGATTCGGATTCTTTTTTTTTTCTTTCTTAATCTATTGAAACGATGGTGTTTGAGAAAAAAAGTCCAAAATTCTACCTTCAGGCCATTTCCCCCATTTTTGCAGTTGCTGTGCCTTGGTCAAGTAACAACGTGTGATGTTTGATGGAATGGTTGACCTTGTGTCTTCCATTTTTTTTCCTTTAGCCTCTTTTTGTTGACAAATAATAAAATCTCCATCTTAAAAGCAGAATGTTCTGCTGAAAAGGGGCTTGCTTTTCAGGGGGAGGGGGGCGTTGAAGCTCAAATGAACCGAATTACCTTTTGGAGCCGCCCGCCTCCCACTTCTCAGCTTTCGTACCAAGCAAACCTTTTCGTCTTTGTCGCCTAACAATGTAGCTTCTGCTCCTCTATTTTCAGCTTTTCAAAGTGAATTTGAGGACTCTGTAGTTGCTCCCTCAAAGCGCTCCTATTTTGGGCTGTTTTTTCTTTTTTCCCCCCTCTCCCTTCGCTAGGTTGCCAGCCAGAGTCTGAACTGTCTGACAGCTTTTAGATGTTTTCTTGTTAGAGCGGCAGTCTCGAAATGTGCACGAGCACTCAGCGGAGTCAGAAGGAGAATTAATGGCGAGGAGAAAGAATCCTTCAAAAGAGTCAAATAGCAATATGAGAAAAATCAGGATGCGCTCAAACATGTCGACTCGATCCTTTGTATCTTGATGCTGCAGAACAGAAATGCTGAACGTATTGCATCTGTCTAGCTAGCGAGCTACAAATCCGTCTTCAAACTACAGAACCGTCTACCGACCGACAAACTTGGCTGTCTACGTGATCTAATCTGATCTAATGTATCTTATCCATCGATCTGGCTAATAAGGCGTGTGTCTCTCCTCCGCAGAACGTGGTGTCAAAGAGCGCCCTTCAGTTCAAGGGCAACTCCCAACACGACGCCCAGGAATTCCTCCTGTGGCTGCTGGATCGAGTTCACGAAGACCTCAACAACATCATCCGTCCTGACGTCAGGCCACCCAGGACGGTAAGCGTTAAGCACATGGTGTTTATTTTCAGAGGGGCTAAAAATACTCCGCGCGCAGTACGGATACAGCTACCTGAAAAATCAACGCTCGTACACCAATGAAGTGCGGGATTCTTTTTTTTTTAAATTGGGTGGCGTGTGCATCCTTGTTTTTGGCCTTCCAGCCTCCGGTGGAGAACGAAAACGCTCCCGGAGGATCTCCACTCCCAGCGCCCGGCTCGTTTGTGCAAGAGCTTTTCCAGGCACAATACAGGTACCGAGCATCCGCCCGGCCGCTGTTTGTCTTCCGACTTGACAAATGCGCCGCGTTGTCTTTTGCGCTTGACTTTTGTTGACGCACAAACACTGCCCATATGAGCTGCATCGTCTGGGAGCTTTTCTGTCAACGTGCAGCGTTGTGTTTATGAAATGCGTGAACCGACGCCACTTGACGTTTTGATGTGCAAATACCAGCAAATCGCTCAAGTGACCACAAGCGCCTTCCTGACACGAGAGTTTCCAAGGACCGTCCGTCTTGTTTTTTTGCTCGCAGATTGACCACGTGAAAGTTTCCCAAAATGTCAACCTCGTAACGGATTGCGAAGCGAGCCGGTTTGGTGTGAGTTTGTTGACGTTTGTGCGCAGATCCTCGCTGACTTGTCCTCACTGCCAGAAACAGAGCAACACCTTTGATCCTTTTCTCTGCATCTCACTGCCAATCCCCGTACCTCACACGCGGTGAGTTTGCGACCGTGAAAAAGAGACAGGCGGACCAAAGGCACGCTGAAATTCGCAGCTGCGCTCGCTCGGGCTTTCTCGCCTTTCATTTGCTTTCTTCCTCCCTCGCCGTGCGTTTGTGCGGATGCAGGCCCTTGTACGTGACGGTGGTGTACCAGGGCAAGTGCTCCCACTGTATGAGGGTCGGGGTGGCCGTGCCTCTGTCTGGCACCATGTCCAGGCTCAGACAAGCGGTGGCGCAGGAGACCAAAATCCCCGCTCAGCAGGTACGTCCTCCTCCGCGCCCGCCACGCGGCGGCTCGGGAAGCGCCGCCTTAAGGGGGGCTCCGCGTCCGCCCTTCAGATCGTCCTCACCGAGATGTACTCCGACGGCTTCCACCGCTCCTTCTGCGACGACGACGACGACCTGGAGATCATCCAGGAGAGTGACTCCATCTTTGCCTTCGAGACGCCCGAGCTCTTCAGGCCCGATCAGATCCGCTCCAAGCGAGGCGGTACGCCGACCCGCTCGTTCGTGCGTACGACTAGCGTCTGCTCGATGTGGCAGAAATGCCTTCGCTCCCAGACAAAACTCACCGAAACCAAGTACCGACGCCGCATCTACTTTTGAAACTAGCACAATGACAGATAATTGTGCACACGTCTGATGATTTGCCCGCGTGTCAAATCGCCACACTGTCGCGCCTGGCGAAGGAGGCCTTACTCCAGGTCCGATTCTATTTCTTTATTTTTTCCAACTTAAATCCCTCTATTTACATTTTTTTTCCAATTAAGATAACATGAAGTCATCAAACATGCAGTCGATATCTATTGAAGAGTAGTTTTTGTTGTTGTTGTTTCATCGAAATAATGTAACCAATGACCATTTTTGACCACGAAACAGGGAGCCCACACGCCAACCTCAACCAGAACAACTTGAAGTACAGCACGGATAACAATCGGTTATCCCCGCAAATCCAGGAGCCCGCAACCCCGCCCCTCAGCCCCAACAAGAACACGGGACCGGAGGAGAAGGTGGTGCTCTTGGTCTGTAACCGAGCCTGCGCCGGTCAGCAGGGACGCAGGTACGTGGAGAGGAAGCGGCCGAGTTGAAGTCTCTGCGTTTGGAAGGGCGTAACCGGGCTGCTTTGGGGATCCCCCGCAGGTTTGGCAATCCTTTCATCCTCTACCTGGAGCGTACGGTCACATGGGACGGACTCCAGAAGGAAATTTTGGAGAAGATGCGTCACGTCTTGCGGCCTGGAGCCGCCGTGCAGGCACGTGCTGTGAAAAGAAGGCAATTTCACCGCCCGCCCGCCTGTGACGTGGCTGTGCTCTTGCGGTCTCGTAGGCAGGGCCCTTCACGTTGCGCGTGGTGGGGGTCGTCGGGATCACGTATCTCCTGCCTCAGGAGGAGCAGCCGCTCTGCCATCCTTCTGTGGAGAGGTAAGGCTGTCCGCCACCGCGAAGGGGCATCGCCGCTCCTTCCGCTCCCGCCTCGAGGTCGACCGCTATCGACGTTTCTGTCACTTTCATCGGATTTGACAGTCCAACTGCCACTGGCTCAAAAGAACCTCTCCTTTTCAACAGAGCATACAAGTCTTGCGGTGCCGGGGGGCCGCCGCACGTCAAAATTGTTGCGGAATGGGACAAGGAGACGAAAGACTCGTAAGTACGGCCGCCGCATTCGCTCCGCCTGTACGCACGATATGGCCTCGTGCACGCCCCCGCCAGCTGCCCCCCCGCGCCGGGATCGAGTCACCGCTGTGGTTTACTTGCAGTCTCTTCAAAAGAGCCGAGGACGAATACATCCCCGATGCTGAAAGTGTGCGCCATATGAAGGAGCAGCACCTCCAGCCTCAGAACTGCTCACTCGCTCAGTGCTTTCAGCTCTACACCAAAGAGGAACAGGTGCGCCGCCGTCGGGACGTCTTCAAACGAGCTTTTTCAACACCTTGTCAGTTGATTTGAACACAGGAAAAAAAAAAAAAAAGCAAACGATGCAAGTGTGCTTGAAAAGGTGTCCTTGACTGGATTGAAAAAAAGTGAAGCTGTAACGCAGTGCAATTGTGCTTGAATATAAGAAGGTAAAAATAATCAAAAGTGTCCTGTGGTCGATAGACCACTAGAGGGAGCCCGTGTAGCGCAACAGCTAATTGAAACAACTGAACGAGAGAGAAAAAAAAAAAACAAAGCAAACAAGTTGCAGTCGGTTGGATTTGAGTTTTGGCAATTTCCTGTGCCCAGCTTGCCCCCGATGACGCCTGGCGCTGTCCGCACTGCAAGCAGCTTCAGCAGGGCAGCATCAAGCTGAGTTTGTGGACGCTGCCTGACATCCTCATTCTTCACCTCAAGCGCTTCAGACAGGTATGGGGGGGGCGGCGAGGCTTTCAGGGGGACGCCGCTGAATTTTTTCCATTCCTTCAGGATGGCGATCGGCGGATGAAAATGCAGAACATGGTCAAGTTCCCGCTGACGGGCATGGACATGGCGCCGCACATGGTGAAGAGGAGCCAGAGCAGCTGGAGTCTGCCTTCGCACTGGTCGCCGTGGAGACGGCCGTACGGCTTGGGTCGGGATCCCGAGGATTACCTTTACGACCTCTACGCCGTGTGCAACCATCACGGGACCATGCAGGGAGGACACTACACAGGTACGGCGCCGTCCAGCGGACAGCGAGCCGGGCCGATGCTGACGCCGCCCCCCCCGCTTTGTTTCTTTTTGCATTTTGAATCTCGCAGCTCAGTGTAAGAACTCCATTGACGGGCAGTGGTATTGCTTCGACGATAGCGACGTCCATCCCATATCGGAAGAGGACGTCTGCAAGCAGACGGCTTACATCTTGTTTTACCAGAGACGCGCCACCATTCCGTCTTGGTCTGCCAACAGTTCGGTGGGAGGTAATTTACTTGCTTCTATTTCCTCCATTTCGACTTGTTTGGGATTGCAGTATTACTTGCGACTTGTATACATCTACGCATATTTATAGTCCCGATCTTGGGTTCAACGGGCATCCGTTATATGCGGGTTTTCGGGGATTGGCGGGCCAGGTCGGGCCGGTCCCTATTCCCTTGCGAACGCTGGGGGTCGACTGTACTATAATTGACGCGAGATCAACTGAATGACCGCCGGGGGCCTTTAGGATCGACGAGTTCTTCCCTGTGCGAGCATTGGATCAGCCGTCTGATGGGAAGCCGTCCGCCGAGCCAAGCGTCGTCCGGTTCCTCCAGACGGACGTCGTTGGCCTCCCTCTCCGAGTCGGCGGAGTTTGCCGGCGAACGCAGCGAGGATGACGGTGAGCGCGCAAATTCCTCCCGACGTGTGCCGCACGCCTTCTGACGTGAGCCTTTCCGGCGCGCAGGTTTATCGAGCCGCCCCGCCGTCAGAGGCATGCAGAGGCAGAGCTTCTCCTCCAGAACGTCCATCGCCAGTCCGCTCGTGCTCAGCGAGAACGGCCAGAAGCCTTCCTGGTGCTCTGCCAAGCTGCAGCTGCGTTCCAACTCCCCGTCGCGCTTCTCCCTGGAATCCCACTCCTCTTCCCCGACGCTGGAAATGATCGGGGAGGTGGTTGACACCCATCTGTCCACGTCCCGCTTCGGCGGTTCGCCCAAGCTCGGAGGTAAGTCCGCCCTGGCGGCGTTGGATCGTAACGCCGGCGCGAAGAGGCTGTTTGAGCAGCTTCACCCCAAAGCGACGTCGCAGGCCGAGCTCAGAAGCTCCTCGCAGGCCGGGGACAACAACAATCTCGTCAGCGGCGCCGAACAATTCGCTCCTCGGCACGGCACGGCCGCTAAGGAGCAGAAACAAAGAAACGTGGCCGCGGACGGCGCGGGTGCAAAACGCAGCTCGGCAAAGACCGGCACAGAGAGCGAAAGGAGCCCCAGGAAGCGGCCCGCCGCCTCCTCCACGTCCTCCAGCTCTTTGTCTCCTGCGTCCCCGGCCGTCGTCAAGTCGCCCGCCCGAGCGCCGGCGAAGGGTGCCGCGTCCCATCCGAGGGACAAGACCGACGCGGCGCCCAAAGCCAGCAAGGCCGCTTCCTCCAGAACGGCGACGCCTTCCAAAAGAGGCCCGTCCCAAACCCGCGACGAATTCCATCCCGACTCCGCCCAGCAGAGGAGGAGCGCTTCGCCGGCAAGCGCGCACCCTCAGAGGAGGACGGCTGCCAAAGGAGGCGGTGATAAAAGCTCGGCCTCGGGAAAGACCAAAGGAGCCGACAGGAGCGCCGGCCGGGATTCTTCGCGCACCAGCGCCGTCTCGGAGAAGAAGGTTCCCAACGGCGGTCCTCCGTCCAGGTCCGGCGCCGGCGGCAAAGCCGAGGGCAGGCCCGTTCGAGCCTTGGAGAACAGGACGGTCGCCCGAAGCTCGAGCAGCAGCTCCTCCGTGACGAGTCTGCGATCCTCGGCCGTCGGCGCCGCGTCTGCCGCCCCGTCGTCCAAAGGTCCCCGAAGGAACAGCAAGACGGAGGACAAAGCTTTGTCCTTCTTCAAAACGGCCCTGAGGCCCAAAGGCCCCCCCAAATCCACGGAGGGCGGCAAAGCCACGGCCTCGGACCCCAAAGCAAGTCCGGAAGACGCCGGCGGAGACGCGGCGAGAGACGGAAGCGGCAAGAAAGCCCAGATGGCGGCCTCGGACGCCACCGCCGCCGCGGCCAAGGACAAGGAATCCTCCAAAGGTTCCGCCGCAGCCAAACATTTGCTGCCGCCCGCCGCTAAATCCAAACTCTCCGAAACGAGCGAGCAGGCTTCTTCTGCCAGAGAACCTTCAAAGAAAGAAGCCGCCCGAAAGACGGCGCCGTCCAGGAAAATCCCCATCAACTCCACACAATCGAGCCAGAAGTCCAAATGAAATCCACGCGAGCGCCCGAGGTTCATCTCGCTCTCCTTTGTCGTGCGGCTCCGAACGCCGAGTTGACTGACGCCTTTGGCCTTCCGGTGCTGCCCGCTTGACGGCCGCCATTCCGAACACTCGCTGTCCACTTTGTTCTGTCGTGATTGACCAGCGGCTTTGACCAAAGCACCTTTGGATGCTTGTGATGATTTCCAGGAAATACCGGACTGTACTGCACGGAAGCACGGGCGGCCCTCACTTTAGTTTACTGCGATGTTTTGGTGCGTTAGCATTCGGGAGGATTGAAATCTCCTTCATTAATTAAAAAAAAAAAAAAAAAAAAAAAAGTATAAAGTAAAATAAATCTATATCTCTATAATACTTGTGGCGCCCACTGGTGGCCTGGAAGCTCTCTGACTGCCACGCTGTCTCGGAACATTCCTCTCAAAGAAGAACACAAAAGGCCATCCGACACAACGCCGGCCCCAACCGTTCGGTCCGCTTGCACCATCGAATGAGATCCGCTTCTGCTTTTGCAAAGACAACACCGCTCTTATTTTTTTCGCTGTAGGGGCGGCGGGGACCGAGCTCAGCATGGACTTCGGCAAAAACAAACAAAAACTTTCGATCCAATGTTTGACTGATTTTGAGCCGCTCGATGGCTTTTTTTTTTTTTTTTCCCCATGGCGTTTGACCGGAGGTCTCAAAATGAATTGATTGCTCAATGATGACACCATTTTGGTTGCGTTCGGTCTGACTGCTGCTTCAAACTAATTTTTAACAGGTGAATCCGTTTTTTTTTTGTCCATCGTGTCACGTTTTTGAGCGATAGGATCCCCGTTTTCTGAAAAATTCTGAAATAAATGCGCGCCTATGTATGGAAATGAAACACCGAGATGGAATAATGACAAGCTCCGAAAACCAAAACAATGCATGGCAGGAAATAGAACAGTAAAAACAGAACATGACTTTCATTTTGGAATCAACAAAATCTAACTCGACAGGATCTTTTGTATTATTAATTAATTTATTTGTTGATTGCGAATTGTCCGAATCCAAACGTAAGGTCGAGCGTTTGGGGCAAGGGGGGGGGTCTCATTTGTTTGCGCAGCTCGCCCCCGAGCATGCGGAACGTCTCCAGAGCGCCTTTGCGGCGACTCCTCCTTCACCGCTTTGTGCACGCGTTGTGAAAATGGTTGCATGACGACTGGCTTCTGCATGCACTCAACTATGCAAGCGACGTCTCGCTCGGTTTGATGACGTACAGCTCTTGGCTCTGTACATAGTGTTTCTTAAGTGTTCTATTTTTCCAAAAAACAAAACACACACAAAAAAAAAAAAAAAAATGCCAGCATCAGAGAGCATGTGAAAGGCATCCTTTATCCACGCTTTGTTTGCACAAGTCTACATTTTGTATGAATGTCCACCAACTGCTCATGGAAGTAAACCGGCTCACTTGAAACCCGAGGATCGTGTTGGTTTTGTCTGAGGCCTGTTCGTGGCGCGCTTTATGTGTGTGCGTGTGTGATATTCAGAGTCAAAAAAATAGCTTTTATTCAATGGAAATGGAATAAGTAATCAGAACATTCCATTGATTCATTTAAAAACAAACAAACAACAAAAAAAGATTTCCATTGCGTTGCCCATGGTGTCCTCTTGATGGCGCTGTACATTTTCCTGCAAATAACAGTTGAAGAAATTGGTGCAAGACCCAATTTGTTCCGGAGAAGCGTCCTTTAATTGGAACCGCCTATTCGTATGATGAAGACGTCTGGTGGGGTCGACTATCCGGCCATCAGTGAAGGCGACGCCTTTATGAAACTACAGGAGCGTCATTTATTGAAGATGTGATTCAATTGCACTTTTATTAGTTTGGCCCCAGGCTGGCGGCGCTAGCCCCGCCTCTTTTTCCTCCTTTCCCCTCTTGTAATTCTCTCGAAATGTCATCAATTTCACCGATTGCTTTCTCGCCTTTTTTTTTTCCACCTTTCCGTCGCCTGGCAAGTGATCCAAATGGCCCGCGGTGACACGAGGCCTTCTCTTCCCACGTGCGATGTTTCGACTGATGGAGAATTTGCTGAACTTAAAATCTCGCCTTGAATGTCATGAAGAAAAAAAAAAGGGAAAAAAAAGAACCCTCGCCGAGCGCAACCTGGCACGAGACTGTGCTGCAAAGGAGCCAGACTTCTTCTGCTCCCACATCAATAATCATCTCCAGTTTGTATCGCTTCCAAGAGAGCCTCATTAGCGAGACCTCCTCGGAGAATTCTGAAAGTTTTATCTGAATTCAAGCGTGACATCGGCCTTGTCGACATCGCGTCCACGCGGAATGAGTTGACGCGTCGGCCGGGTGTTGGCTCCGCTCCAAATGTGCCCGACGCAATCTCAGCGGATCGATCGGTGCAATCTCCGCAAGCCAAATTCGATCCTTACTGATGTCTGCGAGGCTCCCTTTCGACACGCTTTTGTCGCAGGATTGAAGAGGACGAGGGCCACGACCCGCACGCTAAGCAGCGCTTTTCAATTCGCCGTCTTGAGATAATTTGTTGATGACAAGAGCTTTTGTTTGAAGGGCTTCTGGGCCTCGATGGAGTGAAACAATTGAAACGGCACACGCGATCCGAGCGCCCACGCGGCGCCGGAGATTTTTGCAGTTCCTAATCTAGCCGCTGCGCTAAATTCTGGGCTCCGCTAATTGACCCGAAAAGGCAAAAGGTCAAAGAACCTCTCAAGTCAGACACAAGGCTAAATTGGAGTTAGCCTGCAAAGACGGCTTCATTATCTTGCGACGTTCAATTGACGATTTATTCAGAGCTTCAGCTTGGACATTTAGCGTCCGTTGCTCTACTGGCATTTTTGTGGGATAGCAAACCTATCTCACGAGCTCGCCATCTCTGCCTAGCTCGTCGAAAATGGATTCCCACGTACATCATGTCGTGTACACGTTTGACAAAGTGCGGCGAACACATCACCCTCGTGAAGGGTCCTGATTAATTTGTTTCCAACCTTTTTCACCGCCTCCGTCCAGGACGGAATTGCATTTTCAGTGCAAGAACTTTTTCTTGAAGCGGCATAAAAGTCCAAAACAGATTAAATAATTCACTTGTTTCGGGAGCGAGCCCGTCAATTATTTCTCCCTCTCACTCCAGTCCAACGGTGCAATACTTGAGTTCCCTTTTAATTGGAGATGAAAAATCCAGCAAGCCTTGAGTGCGGGCGGCAAGAGAGCAGCTTTTTAGGCCATGCAATATACATGACGCGTCACCGAATTACATAAGCGCCAGCAGATATCGACGGAGAAAAAAAAAAAAAAAAAACAGCTCCGACGCCACCACGCCTCGGGACTGGATTCGAGCTCACCGAGACTTTCAGGAATCACCGGCACGCGTGCCTCTGCAATGTGCAGCCTCGTTTAAAAAAAAGTTTTGATGAGATTGGAATTTGTTGTCATGCGGAAGACAGAAGCCCCCCCGCCCCCCTCTCCCATAAATGAATATCACCTCCATTAGGGACGCTAGCGTGTTAGCCGGAATCCCGAGGCCGTTGCCAACGTGGAGGCGTGTGAAGTATCGCGTGTCTGCCGCCGCTCCTGCTCTGACGCTTCTCCGTGCGTGATTGACAGGGGTGGCAAGGAATCAAGTACTCGTTACTGCGCTCGAGTAGCTTTTTCAGCCATACTCAAATTGCTTTACTCGAGTATTGGCCAGGGCTGCAAAGGCCCTTCGTGAATGCTTCTCTGTCATCTGCACTCCTTCTTGAGCACAGGTGACCTTTGCCACCAATTTTTTGAGAGAGGGCCGCCGCGTTTGCCGCAGCCAGCCGGGTGGTCGGCGGGCAGACCGTGCGAGGCCGCCGCCGTCGTTGGCATCCGTGTGTCTGGATCGACATCACGGGAAGATGAAAAAAAGATGGCGGGATGTCAATCATCGCCTCCGATGTGTCTTTTTTTTTTCTCTCTCTCTCCTTTTGGCCGCCAGCCGCGGCCCCTCCTTGTATCCTCCATCAAGAGAGGCTTTGCAGCAATGCTGAGATGGAAGCTGCACGCGAGAGAAAGGCCAACACTTTGGCTTTCGCACGCGCATCCTGTCAGAAACCAGGCGTGTCTCGCCACTCGGCCTTGAATCTTGCAGGCTTTTTTTGGCACGTGCGTGTGTCACACTCGGTTGGACAAAAGTTGTTCGGTCTTCAGAAGGGAAGATGAGTCAGTGTCTGTCCTGTGTGATTTTCTCAAGGAGATACACGAGTGCTCGGAGAAACATAAAAGGGAAAAGAGCTGTGATGAGCGCAGCTGTCTTCAGCGTCTGACGTGCCATCGGAGAGAAGGGGGCCGTCCTCCGTTGTGTGCGTGTTTGTTTTTTTTGGCTGCGCGGAAGGATGCGCGTGGGAACAAACAACAGTCAAGTTCCAAATCATTTCTCTGGAATCATGTTTTTGACCACCTCACTGTCATAATCGGTCACTGATGCGGTGTTGAAAGCTGCCTGAGCACCGCCGCCTTCCATCAACATCTTGGCGTCAGCTCAGGATGCGGCGGGCCCGCGGGCCGGGGGGCTGCCGACACACGGGCCG